ATTTGTGTACATTAATTTCGTAAATTGAGATACTACCAGATTTATTTATCAATTCTAGGAATCTTTCGGAGAAGTCTATAGGGTTTTCTAGACATAAGATCCTGTCATCAGCAGACAGGTATAGTTTTACCTCTTCTTTTCCAATTGGGATGCCCTTTATTTCTTTCTCTTGCCTGATTGCTCTGGCCAGGAGTTCCAGCTCTACATTGGATAGAAGTGGTGACAGAGAGCATCCTTATCTTGTTTCAGTTCTTAGGGGGAATGCTTTCAACTTTTCCCCATTCAGTGTCACATCAGCTATGGGTTTGCCACATATGGCTTTGAGACATTGAATCACATATGGCTTTTTTTGAGATATTGAATTTAGGTTTGTTTGTTTGTTTTTGCTGCTGCTGGGAAACAATAAACTTTATTTATCTGTTTAAAAAACATTAAGAGGATATGAATGCTTTTATTACATGGACACAAGGTATAATGATGAAGTCAGAGTTTTCAGTGCACCTGCCATGGGCACAGTGTTTATTGTACCTGATGGGTATGTGTTTATCCCTCACCCCTTCCATCCTCCCCCTTCTTAGTTTCAAACATCCTTCACATCCTTTTGTGCTCACATGACTCATTGTTTAGCTCCCACTTATTAGTGAGAACATGTGGTGTTTGTTTTTCCATTTCCCAGATACTTCACTCAGGATAATTGTCTCCAATTTCATCCACCTTGTGAATGACATTATTTCATTCCTTTTTTGGCTGAATACTACTCCATGGTATACACAAACCACATTTTCTTTATCCCTTCATGAATTGATGGATACTTGGTTGATTCCATAGCTGTAATTATGAATTGTGCTATACTAAACATTCAAGTACGGTGTCTTTTTGATAATATAACTTCATTTTCTGGGGTAGATTTCAGTAGTGGGATTGCTGGACTGAATGATAGGTCTACTTTTTGTGGTCTGAGGAATCTCCATACTTTTTTTCCATAGAAATTGTAGTCTCACCAAGAGTGTATAAGCATTCCTTTTTCTCTGCATCCACACCAGCATCTCTTCTCTTTCTCTCTTCTTTTTTCTCTTTTTAACTTTTCAATAATGGTCATTATGATAGGGTTTAAGTTAATGTCTCATTATGGTTTCAACCTGCATTTCTCTGATGATTAGCAAAGTTGAGCTTTTTAAAAAATGTTTGTTGGCCGTTTGTCTATCTTCTTTTCAAAAAAAATTCTATTCATGTCTTTTACTCACTTTTTGATGGGGTTATTTTTTTCCCATTTGTTTGAGTTCTTTGTAGATTTGAACATGGTTTTGAATACCTCTCTACATATATGCAGATGGAAAGAGAGATAGAAATAATTTTACAGGTGGGGCATTATAGCAGGGACAACATTTTAAAAGAAAAGCATCAAATTCAGTTTTCGTAGAAAATACATACCTTTTTGGTGGAAGAAGCTCGGGCAGTCCATATGGTGGTGGTTATGGATCTGGTGGTGGAAGTGGTGGATATGGTAG